TTCTGCCGAACAGCATGAACTCGTTGTTATTAATACATGCTTTCTGCATCAAAGGAAACATCTAATCAAGTGGAACTCTCCGGATAACCAATATTCCAATTAGACTATATATTAATCAGTCGCCGCTGGAAGAGTTCTGTAGTTTTGGTAATTGTTCTTATAGGAGCATTGAAACTGCTAATAACCAAGGATAAGACCATTTATGGTTCGAGCCAAGATTCGCATAAGCCGTAAGAAACAACGCATCACAAGATCTTTCAATTATCTTAGATTAAAAGATAAAGAAATATCAATTTAAATGATATCTCTCGAATAGCGGATGAATATTGGTCCCGATTAAAAACATACTTACACGCTTAAAAATTCAACCACTTCGGTACTAGCATATACTAGTAGGAAATACGCTAGTTGGGTGTCTGAAGCAACAATCCAACTGAAAAAGCTGCTAAAGTCGAATATCAGAAAATTCTGATTATCAGGATATTTCGAAGAATTACAACAACAGCAGCATGGCTGGATAGAAATCACTGTTGGAGTGATATGGTCTTGAGAATGAAGACCACTCGGTTAAGTGATAATAGGAAGCAATATCACCTTCTTTATAAAGCAAATGTAACTCGAGAAGGGGGTCAGTGAAATGATATAGGAAATTAATAAGGCACCTGTTAAGGCTATTAATGATAAGATGCAAAGAATTTTTTCAGGTCAAATTTAACCACGATTTGTGCCATTTGTTGCCTTGGATATAGCCAGTTCGCTGGCAAAGCCATACGCTTATAAATGCGAATAATTACGCTTATAATGGCCAACAGAAGACAAAATCCCCATAATCTCCATAATGCATAAGCTTAAGGCCAATAAAACTCCCGATAGTCTTCGGACCAAATTTTTCAAATGTTGTCCGTCATCGTTCATAAGTCACTTTCAACAAATATACTCTTTGGCATGACAAAAAGAAATAATACCAGAAGACTGGAGCAAAGCAATTCTGCTTCCAATTCTTGAGAAAGGTAACGAGGCATACTGCGACGATTGCTGAAAAATCAGCCTATTAAACATCTCCGGAAAAATTTTCCGTCCCTTCTGCTAAATAGACTCATGGAACACATGACAACAACACGAGATAGCAGAACGCGTCCTAACCAAATTAAGGCCAAGACGCGGTTGTGCTGACCAGATATTTACGCTAAGAAGAATGCTAGAATATCGCTTCAAATACCAGCAACCCATCATCACTTGCTTTATCAGTTTTGCAGTCTTTAATTCGATATAATAGCACTCTGGAAAATGATGGAATGTGACGATGTCCCAAAGAAGATCATTCGGCTCATGAAGGCATTTTGTTTGCATACCCTGGCGGAGGTATGGGGAACAGACTCCTTCGAAATAAAAACTGGTTTCCGTCAGGGCTGTGCCCTTTCCTCCACAATATTCAACTATGCGACAGATTGGATAATAGACATCGCTTATCGGCATTCATGAGGTGTGCAAAGTCCAGAGTAAACCTTAAATACTGATTATTCTGACAGTTATGAGGAAATGCAGATATCAAAATCAATATAAATAAAACGAAAGTATTTTCGTCTTATATACAAGATGATAAAATACCTGATAAAATACCTATTTATATTAATTCATTACCGGTTGATGAAGTTGAGGAAGCTGGATTTTAAATACTTTGGATCTACTCTAATCCCAAATGGCCAGGCAAAGGATGAAATTGTAACCCGGATAACGACATCTAGAATGTTTTTTCGGTTGATGAAATCGTCGCGAAATCACCATAAAGACGAAGGTCCGCGTCCATATAGCTGCAATTCGCTTGATCTTGCTATATGGCTGCGAAACACGGCCAATGAAAATGGAAGAAACTAAGAAGCTATTAGCCTTTGACCACTCATGTTTAAGGTACATTTTACGGATCCGTCGAGCGCACATTATTGTATCTATCTTCGCTCAAATACCATCTGTATTAATATTATCACAGAACGTCGTCTTCGCTGGTTCACGTTCTCCGTCGTCCACCACAGGAGTTGACGCATATTTCGTTACTTGCTAAACCGTGTGACAGCTGGCATCAAAAGCGAGGAGGACAAGACCTGGACTGTCTGTTAAAAAAGATTTTGAACGTATAGGGGAACTAGCGATATATGGACTTAGACGATGGAAAAAGGAATGGCTTCTATTACTAATATTACTAATAGCGATGGCGTCGGAGCAACTTGGAAAACGTCATACTCTTGTAACCAGAACCAGACCAGAGCGGAGCCAGCCTAACCAGCAATGGTGAGAGTTATTAGAAGGAGAAGAAGAAATAATTATTGGTAAGGAAATGATAACAGCAATGAATGCAAGAGCGAAAAAGAATAAAGGGAATTAAGAAGAAGGAAATATATATCCATGGAACCAAATAAAAAAAAATTAACTGGAAGAAATATCTGGGAAAATGAAACAGCAAACAACCTCGTATATTTCACTGGATCGCGTTTTAATGTCAAAGGTACTATTATATTTAAATCTGTTGCAGCTGCACATAACCATGTTGTATAAATTCGCACAGCATTATGAACAGTATCACATTCTTTGTTTGAAAAATATGAAAATGAGAGTGAATGGGTGATAACCTAAAAAATTTCAAAAAGAAAACAGTCTATATTTTAATTTCACCAAAGTTTCTTAATATTCCCCCAATTCTCAAAAAATATTTCAACGTTTTTTAATCTAATAAGAATAGTATTTCAGTTAGATAAAAAAACAATTATAAAAATGATACAAACTTGCATAATCCAAGAAAGTTCTTCATCGGTCTTAATCCGCAAACAAAAATTCTCTACTTTTTCTCGATTATCGATAACATTTATAATATCCCGAATTAAAATCTCAGCGATGCAATTACTGGCTTCTCTGCATGTTTAAAAAAAAAATTTCATAAAGAATAAATCATAAAAATTATAATTTAGAATCTAAAGTAAATTAAAAAATTTATATCGAAAATAAAATTTTTTAAATTTAAATTAAATTTATGCCAAAAATTTTTAAAATTTATTTCATTTAAATTTTTAAAATCTGAGAAAAAAATTCAAACTTTGATATAAACGATAGCGAAGATTCTTCTTTAACATCGCAAAGATCCAATACAGGCCATTCTTCATACATATTCTCAATCTACAACACCACCTTACCCTTTAAATATTAGTATCAATTCGATTAACTGAGAATGAGAATTTTGCAAAAGTTGCTTAAAAAATGCAGCAATATTTTAATATTTTAAAAGATAAAAAATTATGGATTGGATATAAAATTATGGATTTGATATATGGAAATATATTAAAATAATATAAAAACAATGTAGAAACGCAATAAACAATGATACAATTAATGATAAAAAATTAACGGAAGAGCAGTAAATAAAAAAAATTATGAAAAATTCAAAATAAATAAAATTGGACGAATTGAAGAACTAAAAATTTATAAAGAAATCATCCATATTATAATAATAAATAGTCAATAATTTCTGTATATTCAATGTTTATTAAATAATAGCGAATAAAATAAAAAGATCATCAGGATGACAGGATTAAATAAAGAGAACGATAAAACAGGTTATAAAACATTTCAATCACTGAATGATAAGAAATAAAGAAAAATAATAATTAATAATATAATAATAATTAAAATAATAATTACAAAAGAGCGGAAGTAACTATAATAATAACAAAAACAATAATAAAACGATCGAATTTATTAAATTTTTCTGGTTTTCTTAAAATGATAGAATTAGAAAAATTATAGAAATTTCCTGAAAAAATTGAAAAATTCGCTTTATTTTTACAATTTCTACAATCACTGAAATAAATCAGATGTTTGAGTGATTTTGTTGATACAAGGGTGCTTAGCAACGGGAAAAGAATCTCGCTCGCTTATCACAACAAAATAAGGTGCGTCAATAATAAAAACCTGAGAAGTAGAATGAGAACTACCTGGGAGTTACAGAGTTGCACCCTTTCATCCTCCTCCCCTTCTCCGCCTCTTCTCCTTATCCCTCAACTCACCGCATTTCGCTAGTACTTATTCGTTTAATAAGGATCGCAGCCCAGAGACATTTGGGGGTAGAACCGCAGCTCTCAGATTTCATTAATTCTCAAAAAGAGGAGAGAATCGAATCCATTAGGTTCGACTTTGAGCAGCGCACGACTCGAGCACACTTTTCCTCCAAATTTTCAGTCATTATTCTCTTTTCTTACAGTTTTTTGTGTCAAATATCGCTGTGAACCAAACAACTTACAAGTACCAAGAATAAGGCAAGAAAAATCGAAAAAAGACTTTAAAGAAAACGAAAAAGTCGATTTAATTCTGCAAATAACTATTACGCTTGCAAAACACCCCCAATAAAAACTGCGAAAAATTTCCTGCAAAATGAAAACACCGGAGACGAACTCTCGTATAAGGATATGCAAAACTCTTAACAGCACAATATCCTTTTTTCTTCCACGAATTAAATTTTATTTGTATTCGACACTGTGACTGGCAGGCAAAGTCGATGATTGTTCTAGGTAAGTGGCATGGTCCGATGCTTGTCTGTTAATTGGAATAGTTCGCAGCTAAATGCAGTGGTGGTAGATATTCAGCGCTCCTCTACTCCCTTCGAAGAATGGATCTTTATCCAGTAGTCAATACAGTCAAATAAACCAGAAATGGTGAGCACTGCTGGAAGGTGGACGAAAAACAGAATCCGTCGGCTTTAATTTACTATTCCCTTTATTCATTACTAATATATTGAGCTTCAAATAAAGACATTGTTTGGTTTTCAGTATCTTTACCATAGCATCTTTTCTTGATTCTGCTTGACTAATCCAAAGAATCTTTCACTCCAATTCTGTTTATAACTTCTAAATGCAGTCACCTTCGGTTTCTGGTTGCTGCGAGTTTTTTTACCAAAGAGACTTTTTTAGGGATTTAGGGACAACTGGATCTGCAGCATCATCTCAGCAGGATTACTTCGACACATTTCTGAGAGTTTTCCGCTCATAATAATCAGTTAAGGGAACCTAAGCCAAAAATAGCGAGGGCTGCGCTTATTTTCACCCTCTAAATTTTGGAACAGTCATATTGGATAATTTAGCCTTGCATAATAGAATTTGGAGAGGGTGCAATTACAAGGAGTCGATGCCTGCAGACTTCATTTTACCAATTAACATACGATTCATAAATCGACTTAAATAACAATGACCAAAAATTAAATAATTTCCTTTCCAATTTCTATCTCCGTAGTTTCCTATCCTATTGGAAATGGAGCACCCAGAAGTAAATCAGTATTAATGCAATAACTGGAAAGAGGGTAAATTTAAATTATTGGCCGTTTTCCTCAACCTTTGCGGAAAAATCCTTGCCTTCTCGAATTTAACATTCTTGCTGAAAGAACGATACAAGAAAATTTCATGAAATATAAAGTGAAGGAAAGTAATTCACCGCTATTTTCAATAATGAAAGGAAGAAAAAAATAAATGAATGCAAATTGCAGATTAATATGAATGATTGGCAATGAATGGAGTAATTTTTAGATTTTTCAGTCTCGTTGTCGAGTAACATGATTTCTTTAGATAAGATTAGATCGCAATAGATTACCGAATAACTTCGCTAATCGCCAATCATAGAAATTTACCGTCAGTTTAAAAATTTATAATGTTTATGAATTTAATCAATTCTTATCACAGAAGAGGATATATCTTGCTTCGTTCCCTTCTATAAATAAATTAATGCTAAAATTTTAAAGTTTCCCTTGCTTTCCAATGTTTTTAAATAAGAAAATAAATATAATAATAATTCTATATATAAAAGTAAGAATAATAAAAATAATATGTTGGCAATTCTAAAAATTCTAACAGTGATAATGGCAAAATAATAATATAATAGTAATAACTGCGGTGATGATCAATTAATAATCAAAATAATAATTATAATTAATAGTATTACTAAAGAAATATTGAACTTTGATTTGATTTACATTACATTTACATTTCAGGCGTTCTACTATTGTTTGTCGATGATAATTATGAACTATTTACAATTTAGCTAATAAGCTTTTCGAAGTGAATTATGAGAAAAAAAGAGAAATTAAAAGTAGAAATGAGAAATTAAAATAAAAAGTATTTTGATGAAGCCGGAAATCTAAAAGCAAGCAGTTATGGTCAAAAGCTTCAACCTAGCTGCATTTGTAAGAATTCTCACCACTGCTAGCTAAATTCGCTTTGGCCAACCTTGCTGGTTGGACCAAGCGAATATCGCCAGGCAGTCATTTTGCGGCAAAAGTATAGGGGAATCGCCACTCGAATTTTTGAAGAACAGGTTGGTCTGCTTTTGGCGGGCGTGGATACATTTTTTTTTTTCATACATACATACATTATTTTTTTTCATACATTATTTTTCATACATTATTTTTAAATAATACTGAACCAAATATTTGGGTTGCTTTAAATTAAAATACAGCAAATACTTATTTAATAGCTCTGTTTGAAAATAGCCATGCACTTCCGCGAATAACTTCTATAATCCATTGATAATCAATCATCTCTCTTTTGTTTTTGCGATCCGGCAAGATGTTTGACCCCGCTTATCTCGATTTGCATTCATCATTTTAAAAAAAGTATTTATTTGAATGAACGAAGGAAGATAATTGTTTATGACTTAGAAATAACGGTACATCGGTTTAAAATATTACAAAAAATAAGTCGATGGAACATTTGATACACTAAATTTTTTTCAGTGGGGCATAATTAAATGTAGAACATCGAGAAAATCTGCATGGCCGATGGCCGATCGTTTGAAAGCAAGTACGGAAAGAAAAAAGTGGATTTTCTCCAAATTACAAAATCTAAAAATGTTTCTGATGTTGATCAAGTTGAATAACGCTGATCAAACTGAAAAAAACTGGTCAAGTTGATCCGAGCATGGATTACAGTAGACCAAACTATATACTTGCGTAAAATCTCTGATTCCCTTAACTTTATTTATATCCCATAAAATTTTCTTTACATTTTCATTCCGCCATGGCCTATTTTATGCGAAGTCTGCAAATATAAGAATAAGTTTAATGAGATTTGACCTGGGATTGTCTAATGTCGTGCCTTATACCAAAATTTGCGATTTAAAGGCCCAGAAAAAACATGGATCTTATTTTCGTTTTTTCTCTCAAAAATATGATTGATTGGTTGTTAAATAATTTTTTTTTATTACTGATTGCTTGTATTTTTATAAATATTTATTTGAAGGTAAACAATAATTATTGGTTTTTTTATTTGATTTTGCATAAATAAATAAACAATATTTTTCTGTTTTATAGCCGAATAAGCATAAATCCAATTTAAGTGCCTCGCAAGCATATTGTAATTTGCGAAGTGTTCCGTGGCGAGAAAAACATTTACCTTAGATTCCATTTCAAGCATCCTGGTCAACATCCTTTCTCTCTTAGGAGGGGAAAAACTGCCATTTAAAAACCCGAGTAATGGAATCTTCTCTGCACTTAACTAAAATGCCCACGGCAAAAGAAGATCGGTTAATGCTAAATCGCGATTTCATGACTTTTTTAGCAGTTAAAATATTTTTCAAGGAAGTTCTGATCAAATAAGTATTATTCCAACAAATTTGCGAAAAATGTTCACAAAATTTTTTAATAAAATGAAGATAACTGCAAAAAAGTGGTCGAAGTGAGAGAATGCCAGCGGAAATAAGAAATTGCAGCTATTACAGTTACATTTGCCGACGATCGTGCTCGTTGGCTTTTATCGTAATTTTTGTTTTATATTTTATATTTTTTAAAAAAGTTTATTACTGAGCAATATGAAGTTGTTCATTACATGGCGAAGAGGATCAGATAAAAGCCAGAAAAACTTTGAAATTCGTGGGAGGTGTGATTATTGAAAAAGAACTGTAAGGTAGGGCGTAGGAAATTGTATTTATAATATATGTTGTTCTTCTTCTGCGATTGGCACTTACCATTTCTGATTTGACTAGTTGTTACTAGAGTTAGAAATCTTTGCCAAGGGACTCAATTAATAAAAAATGGGCTACTAGCCATTCAGATTTTCTAACGGCAGGTTACTCCCTCCCATCATAGTTGGGAAATCGAATCTTTAATGCCCGATGCAGATCGAAACTCAACCATCCCATTGATTCATAGGTCTAGACTCGTTTACCAGAGAGTCACATGAAAGGAAAAATGTGTGTTTCTTCATTTTATTTCATAGGATTTCATTTTAAGCAACAGGTCTATTCAATAGATTAGAATGGAACTAATGAAGCACCTTTATTTTCAGCAACGCCACTCGACAGTCCTGATCCAAATAATTTTTAGTTGGAATGAAAAAAAATCCATTTTTGTTCATCCTCTCCACTTTCTGCATATCTTTAAATAAAATGAAATTTTGCTATATTAAAAAGCTATTTAAGTAATCTTTTATTCCTCAAAATATGACTTGCGATATAAATAATTTTCCGAACATTTCTTTGAGGTTTATGAGTTTTTTTTCTAATTTTATTCATGCGCACTTATCAGTAATTGTACGAACATTTAAAATGAGGATAAGGGCTTAAAAATAATATAGATTCTTCTTTCAACAGGTCATTTTTCTTGGAGAAGAATTTAAGTCAAAAGAAATTACAAAGAGATAAGATTAAATCATTATAGCAGATATTTGATCCTCAAAAATCTCTGAATAAATTGGCAATGCCATTCTCTTTCATCAAAAAAGTACGAAAAGTTTTTGATAGGTTGATAAAATTCAGTTCAATAAATTCAAAATTATTTCCACAGTTTTTAAATCCTTTCTTATTCAGCGATTCAGCGATTCCTCATTTCATAAAATTTTTGACATTTTTAAGTTATAAGACGTTAAAATTTATAAGAAGTTCGATCTCTAGCGAAGGTTTTTCTGTTTGCCAATTACAATTTAAAATAATTTTTACATGGATCATATTCGTTTCATGGATCTTCTTTTCAGAAGAGTGAACTTTTCGAAAAAATGAATCGTGAATCGCTGTCGAAAAGTCAAAAGAGTGGTTTAAAGATGGCAGACATTTATGAAGCACATCAGGATTTGAATTACCTCATATCAAACGAAATTCCATCTTCATCATTCAAATTAACTGCTAAAATATCAGAGAATGTTGAAAAATTGGAACAATCAAGCTTTAACATGAATTCCCGTCTTGGAAATAATTATTTGAGTATGTTTTTCATTGAATTAATTAATAAAAAATGTTGATTAAGAATTGTAAAATTTTTGGTTTGTAAAATTCATATATATGTATTTTTGGTTAATTGTAATTTCGTTCCCTTAAATGGCTTATTTATTATGAGAAAATTCAAAAATACCTATATATGAATAAATTATTAACTTTTTATTTTAAATTATTTATTTATCCATTCATTTAAACAAATCAAGCAATAAGTATTTAAAAAAAAAACAAAAGGAAAAAATGGCTGTCAAATTAATATTAGTATGGAAGATAAATGAAATAAAATCAGCGACAATCAGAAAATCAATGGATTGGCAAGGAATTCTAAAAAACCTGAATTTCATAAATAACTTCATTAATTTATTCATAAAACGATTCATGGAAGAAAAACATCGCTCGGTAACTCATTCAAGTGACTGATGGTGCGAATGAAAAAATCGTATGAACACAGATTAGTTTGACTAAAACGATAAACGGCTTTAAATCCAAAAATTAAGGCCTTATAAGTGTATATCAGAGTATGTTTAATTTAGATCCAATTTCTCAGGAATTTATACAATTCTAATTTAAACTTTTTTTAAAGAACCCTCCCATTATTGGTTAGACTCGCTCTGCTGGCTTGACTAGACAAACAAATATGCCAGAGAGTCCGAAAAAGTGAAGAGATCATCCCTTGGCGATAGAAGTACAGGTGAGTCGCCAGCACCACTACGATTTTGGACAAGGTCTACATATCTCGAAGTGACTGATTCCAAATGAAATTTCTTTCCAAATTTTCCATTTGCCGATATTTTTCAGATATATATTGTGCCAATTCAAAGTCGAACAGCAAGCAGGATTCACTAAGAATAAAGTTGGCTAATGAAATTCATAAAGTGGATAAAAATAGCAGATACTTGCGAAAAAGTGAGGAGATCATTCGAAAATATATCTATTCGTTGAATTCAGACAATAGTAGTTCGTCTACAGTGAAAGAAGATAGCATTTCACAGTACTGGCGTACAAACTCTGATGAATTAACACAAATTCGTAATTTCGTTGGAATTCTTCAAAAAGCTAAAGAAAACATACAATCAACCGGATTCCCGTATAGAATCGAGCAAGAGGAAAAATCTCTCGAATTCTTCAAATCGAGAAACTCATCTCGAAATAAGGACCCAAAAACTTTGAAACTTGATCAGAGAACAACATCTACAGAAAATGAAAATTATTTGATAGAAGCAGACTCAGACAATTCTCCAAATAACACTCTTTACAATTTGCAGTTGAAAACTTTCTAAAACCTTTTTCATGTAAATTGCTAGGTCTCATTAAGCTCATACTCATTATACTTCTCGTTTATACTTAAACAATACATTAGTGGTTTCTTTTTAATCTGTATTATCCACAATGAATTCGCAACTTTAACTTCAGAAAATCTCAAGCCTTGTGTTTATCGCAAACGAATTATAAAGAAATAATTCTCCATAGATTTTCTCTTTAATGATTTCGATTTTATCCTGCATTGTATGATGTTTATGTCCAGAAAACTTGCTGACAAATGGAATTAATAATTAAAGAATAAAATTTTTTAAAAAATGTTTCGACAAGCAGTCAACAAGAAATATGCAATTTTTTTAAGGATGTAAAGTTGTCTTTTAGTAGTTTTAGGTTTAGTAGTTTTAAGTAGTTTTAGGTCTTTTAAATTAATCACAGTTATTATTCGTTTTCTTGCCTCCTTACTTATTTACACCATGTTTTACGATAATAAACGTTCATTCTGTCGATAAATTTTCCTAATCTTTTATAATTTTGCCAAATTATTAAAATGTCTTATTGAGTTATATGTGTATAAAGAAAGCTTTTTATCGAAAGTTCAGACCATTAATACAGTGGAAAAATTCGTTTGAAAAAACGAATTTTTTGACGACCGAAATCGAAACGATTGATATAAATATGGTTTTCTCATATTAAATCCATGAATTGACAATTTATATAAAAGCAAAGCAAAAGTAGTCGATTTGCGATTAATGAATAAATGGTAGGTAGACTTCTTTAGTTGATTTAAAATTTCATGAATTAGCCATAAACCAATGTTTAAGGCGGTGCAAAATCTCCTTACCAACTGTGGTTTGAATGGCTATCACCAGATTCTCAGCACTCTCTGGAATTTCCGTTAATGGCAAGTTTACCTTAAGAGACTTGACCTCAGTCGGGAAATTTCGAGTAATTTGCCTATTGACCATCCAGCTGTTAATAAAAACATTCACTGAATAATAATGCAATTATCCTATTCGTTGTATAAAAATTTCGAAAAAATTTTATCAGTCTTAAAAAATTTTTGTAGATTTTCGGCTCAAGTAACCAAATTTTCTATGTTTGCATATTCCAAGAGCGATAAAGAACAAAATTGACAAAAAACGGCTTATATTCACGATCAAAATTTCAAAAAATTCTTAATTTTCAACCAATCGTTCAATCAAAACAAATCAATTTTAAATCTTCTAGTTTTTTTTTTCTTCTGGTACTCACCACTTCTGATGTGGCTGTTATGGTGAATTTGCCGTCCCAGATTGTGACTCCACATTCTTTTCATGCATTCTAACTTTTTATTATATTATGTTAGCTGAAATATCTACAGTGAGACCCGAATTTTCATACTGCATTACAGAGTGAATTCGTTAATAAAATTTCACTCATTTCGATGGTTGCAAGAATCCATTGAGAGAGTCAGACATTTTAAATTATATCCCATCTAAAAGTGGCTTAGGCTTCGAAGTTCGGATATCACGCAAAATCGACTTAGCTGCTTTGCTTTCAGTCATCGCTAGAGAAGAATTGTCATCTGAGTTGCTTTGACATCAGTAATTTGCAGTTGTTTCCTGATTCACCACTGTCAAAAAATATTCCCTGATTTTCACCGCATTTCTTCCTTACTATTGCTGGTTAAGCTCGCTCCATTGGCTTGTCACATTGAGCAATACGCCAGGGAGACCCTTGGCGATAGAAGTAAGGCGATCACCAGCATCACCCGGATTTTTGTACAGGTTTACTTCTGCGGGGAATCGAATCTCAGCGGCATCGGCAATTCTAATCGAGCAACAACCCACTGAGCCATTTTATCCCCAAAAAAATTTGGAATGCTTCACGAATTTGCGTGTCATCCTTGCGTAGGGATCATGCTAATCTTCTCGATATTGTTCCAATTTTATATGTTCATCGGAATGAACATCGCATTACCTCTTTTAGAATTGTTGTTATTCGATTTTTTAAATTCTCAGATTGACCCTATAACTTTTGCTTAATTTCTTTATAGTTGAGGTGATATCAATATATATTGAAAATCCTTGGCAGTCATTTCAGAATTAGAGCATACCTTTTATGGTTTGGTTAGTACTGTTAAGTAATCCTAATTGCGAGAGTTTTAAATAGCCTGTATACATGATATCTCTGACCCGGTGGTACAAGCGATAAATATACGGGCGTAATAATTATAAAAAAATAATTTCAATGCACAAGCAAAGAATTTGCTCGCTAACCGAGATTATTACTCAAAACCTATCAAGGTAAACGAAAACTCATCCGCTAATATTTTTTAAGCGCGGCGAAGTGTTGGCTATAGCTTCTTGGAATGTCACAACGCTAATGGATGTTGCAAGCCAAGTAATCACACCTCACCTTTCACACCTTGTCCACACCTTTCCTAAATACCGCGCGGATGTGGTGTCAGAGATCCGTCTTCCTCATGTCGGGTCTCTAGTAATTATTAAATTAGTTCCGAGTAAAGATATTAGCTATATCACTGTGGTGACTCGGATAATTCAGGGCGAAATGGTGCAACGATTGTCATGTCTGAAAAGATTCGATCCGCTCCGATTGAGTGGAAGCCAGTAAATGGTCGTATGGCCTACGCTCGTTAAATTTCTGTAATATGGTCATTGTATACGCTTCAACTTTATGCGCAAATGACCACGATAAGCACAAATTCTATGCAGAACTTCTCCTATTAACAACATCACTACCGGGAGGTGACATGGTCATAATCTGGGGAGAATGGAATGCTCATGTAGGTCATGATGCTATTACGATGAATTCGGTAATTGGCAAATATACCATCGGGAAACAGTACGCCAATGCTTTCTTCGTTTTGCTCAAAAGTATGAGTTCTTTATTACTAATGCAAGCTTTCGGCATCGGAGGAACTTCTTATCACGTGGAATTTTCCGGACAATCAATATTCCAATCAGATTGACTACATATTATTCAGTCATCGTTGAAAGAATTCGGCACTTGATAGTCGTTCTTATAGGATGGCTGGTAACCGCTATGGATCAGACCATGTTATGGTTCGACCTATGATTCGGATAAAACTAACAAGTCGTAAGAAAAAACGCACCCCAATTCTTTCAACTATCCCAAGTTAAGAGATCTGGGAACAATAAGCGCATTTCAAACCGTATTATTGAAATATCTCAGTGAAATGAACATCAATGACATCTCTGGAAAGAAGTCTGGTCCCAATTATAGAATGCTTCAAAGAATTACGACAGCAGAACAGAAATCACTACTGGAGTGATATGGTCTTAAGAATGGAGATGGCCACTCGGTGATAATAGATAATAACTATTTCGCCTTCTCCACAAAGCAACTATAACTCGAGAAAGGATCAGTGAAATGATACGGGATATTAATGCGGTGCCTGTAAGGCTGTTAAGGATTGTCTCATAAGGTGGAAAGAATGGAAAGAATTTTTGAAATTCTTTTGAAACCAAACTTAACCACATGCGTCATCTGTTGTCCAGGATATAACTGATTCGCCCATCGAGCCTTACGTTTGCAACTGTAAACCGCCAAGATGAAATAATATCTGTAATCCATAATCTTAAAGCCAATAAAACCCCTGGAAAAGATGGTCTTTTGGCCGAACTTTTCAAATGTCTATCATCGTTCATAACTCACCTTCAACTGGATGATAGACTGGATAATGGGCACTGCTTGTCGGCACTCAAGAAGTGTCCAAATCAGTCCAGAGCATCGTATCACAGATCTTGAAGACGCTGATGATGCAGTCCTTTTTGTTGAGAGTTATGATGAAATACAAATAATGCTAAATAACGTGTCAACAACTGCAGCGAGAATCGCACTCAGAATCAGTGTAAATAAAGCCTTTTCGTCTTATGTGCAAGAGGCTAATAAAATGCCTCTTTTTTGTAAATTCATTGGCCGGTTGAGAAAATGCCAGATTTTAAATACCTTGGATCCACTCTAATACAGGCAAAAGATGATATTACAACTCGGATTACGACAGCTAGAAATATGTTCTTCCGGTTGATGAAACCTTTATGGAATCGTCGTGAAATCACCATAAAACGAAAGTCCGCATCTATATAACCGTTATCGGTTCGATCTTACTATATAGTTCTGAGACATGGCCAATGAGAATGGAGAATATTAAGAAGTTATCTGCCTTTGACCACTCTTGACTAAGGTAAATATTACGTCGACCGGATAAGATATCACATAGTCGCATCCATCTTCGTTCAAATACCACTAATGTTATCATAAATAATGCAGAGCATCAGAGCGTCGCCTTCGCTGGTTAGGGCACACCGTCGTCCACCACAGGAGTTAACGCATGTTTCGTTATTTGCTAAACCGTGTGATGATTGGCGTCAAAAGCGAGGTGGTCCAATCAATACCTGGACTGATACGGTAAGAAAAGATTTTGAACGTATAGGACCAGCAATATATGGACTTAGACGATGGAAAAAGGAATGGCTTCCATTACTGTCGACGATGGCATCAGACCACACCGCTTGGAAGCGTCTTACGCTTGTAGCCATTGGAGCCAGCCTAACCAGTAATGGTAAGAGCTATTAGAAGATGAAGAAAAAATTCACCTTCAACAAATATTATACTCTCTTGTATGGCAAAAAAAATAATACCAGAAGACTGCAGTAAAGCAATTCTGTCTCCAATTCCTAAAAAAGATGACAAGGCATTCAGAGACGATAGCTGAAAAATCAGCCTATTAAACATCTCCGGAAAAATTTTCGCTTCTCTTCTGCTAAATAGACTCATGGAACACATGATAGCAACACGAGATAGCAGAATGACCAAACCAAATTAAGAACAAGGCGCGGTTGTGCTGACCAGATATTTACGTTAAAAAGGATGCTTGAACATCGCTTCAAATACCAGCAACCCACCATCACTTGCATTTTCAATTTTGCAGCTGCCTTCAATTCGATTGATAGAGCAGCACTCTGGAAAGTGATGGAATATGAAGATATCCCCATAGAAGATCATTTCGACTCATAAAGGCATTTTATCAGCATACCCTGGCGGAAGTCTGTGTATATGGGGAACTGACAGACTCCTTCGAAATAAAAACTGGTGTCCGTCAAGGCTGCGTCCTTTCCCTCACAATATTCAACTATGCGATAGACTGGATAATGGGCATCGCTTATCGGCACTCAAGAGATGTCAAATCAGTCCACAGCAAACCTTAAATAAGCTGATGACTGTTTGCTGAGGAAATGCAAATAATATTAAACGATGTATCAACAACCCTAATGAGAACTGTACTCAAAATCAATGAGAAATGTTTTCGTCTTATATACGAGATGCTGATAAAATTCCTATTTTTATTGATTCATTGCATGGTTGAGGAAGTGCCCGACTTTAAATATCTTGGATTCACTCCAATTCCAAATGGCCAGACAAAGGATGAAATTATAACCTGGACAACGACAGCAACAAATGTGTTTTTTTGGTTGATAAAACCTTTATGGGAACCGTTTTATTAATAATGGCATCACAGAGTGTCGCCTTCGCTGGTTCGGGCATGTTCTCCGTCGTCCAACGCAGGAATTGATATTTCGCTATTTGCTAAGCCCTGTGATGATTAGCGTCAAAAGGGAGAGAGTCCAACCAAAACCTGGACATATTCAGAAAAGATTTCACATTTAGGTAGACGACCAGCGATATATAAACCTAGATGATGGCTTCTATTATTGTAAACGATGGCGTCCCGAATAGTTTAAAAATGTCTCACCCTTATAGCCAGCGGAGCCAGCCTAACCAGTAATGGTGAGCGCCAATAGAAGTTATTCAATAATGATGAAAACGTTAGCAGATAATATTTTTCTGGTTTATTTGGATCATATGCCCTAAATTGTGATAAAATTAATTTCTGTAAGATTATTCTAAATTATTTTTTCTTTCAATAGCTTTATAAAACTTTGGCAGAATGATTTAATGATAGGTTCTCGCTCATGAATACAGTGAACTTGTTATATAAAATACGGGTGGTGCTAGCGACACATCTTCTGTTGCCAAGTGAATTGCAGACGCAAATTTCTGTACTAAACTACAAAAAATGGTTAATAATAACAATGGTCAATAATAATCGCAACACTGAGAGAAACTGATTTAATCATCATTTATTTCAACTTTTTTTAGTATTTTTTAGTTTTTAGTACTTTTTTATATATTTAGTATTTTTATTTAAAATTTTGTATAACAATATTATAAAATTTTGTAAGATGTACTAAACAAATCAAATTAATTTTTTCATTTTCCAATTAATGAAAAATTAATAATTATATAGCACTTTTATAAGTAGCTAAGTAATAAAAATAATAGAATAACATGAAAATGCAAGTAATTTTTCTCGAACATGAAAACGAAATTTAATTTGTTTCAACAATCATATTAGGAATTCCAGAGCGGATGGGAAAAACATGGCCACTTTCAGGACATTTCAATTCACCTTCGATTATTTCTACAGACATAAGCACGTGAAATAACTAAAATTCATAATTTTATAATTTATAAATTCATAATACTTATAGTATTTTTTCAAAACTTCTTTCTAAATAAATTAAAAAATAAATATTTATAAATATTAAATAAATAAAACGAAAAATAATATAATACCATATTAAATATTATAAAAAACAAAAAGCACAAAAAAATAAAAAGTAAAAATAAAGAAATAATATGAATAAGAATTACCTTTCTTAAGAATGGTTCATCTTGTATAGTTGGTAACTGAGCAGGAAGGCCATTAGCTTCGCCGATACTTTCAGCTGCTTCACGTAAAACCGGATAATTTAATTTTTCCAACAAACCTTTCACCAAATTTTCATTATATTCGTGTTCTTTTACCTGAAAGCGAATGTATATATATATATATATATAAATATTTGTCGCAATGCATAATGCTCGAAATCGTTATGTTAATTGATTATTGATACTAACTACTAATCCGAAAATGATTTCACAGCTTTAAATTTAGAAACGTCACAAAACGAGGAAAGCAAAAGGATTAGGGATGGCCTGCTTTTTCCGCCTCTGCTGGCTCTACTCGTGGGTTTTTTTTATTTCTTTTATCACTGGGCCATTCAATGAAAGCGTTTTACTCTTGTTCAGCCATTATTTCTTTTCTTCGGCTGGTGCTGCGGTGTTGGTTTATTATCAAGCGGATCTGTCAATTAATTATGTGTGAATCTGTTAGTTCTTTTTCGATCGAATCATATTTTTGAAATGGTAAAAACTTATGCTTTGCCAATACCATATTACCTTACCAATCTCATTTCATTGCACTAATCCTTTAAACAATACTGACGCCTGTTGAATCCATAGTGCTCTTTTGCCTTCCCTGTTTCGTGACAAATTTCTGACTTTTAAACTTAAATATACCTATAATATGTGGCTAATAATAAATAATAAATAGCTGATGGCTAATTCGCCGATAATAATAATTCTAATGAGCGAGGATGATTAGACTATGCTCATGCATAATCTTAAAACATGAAGGACTGACATAAGGGATTCCGAGTCCATTCAAATGTCTTCTTCTTCTTCTAACCATTACTGGTTAGGCTGGCTCCAACGGCTACAAGGGTAAGGCGGTTCCAAGTGGTGCGGTCTGATGCCATCGTCGATAGTAATGGAAGCCATTCCTTTTTCCATCGTCTAAGTCCATATATTGCTGGTCCTATACATTCAAAATCTTTTCTCACCGTATCAGTCCAGATATTGATTGGACCACCTCGCTTTTGATGCCAACCATCACAAGGTTTAGCGAAATATGCGTTAACTCCTGTGGTGGACGACGGAGAATGTGCCCTAACCAGCGAAGGCGCTCTGTGATAATATTATTTATACAAGTAGTATTTGAATGAAAATGGATGCGATCTTGTGATATTTTATCAGCTCGAGGATCCGTAATATATACCTTAGACAAGAGTGGTTAAAGACAAATAACTTCTTGATATCCTCCACTTTCATTGGCCATGTCTCAGAACCATATAGTAAGATCGAACGGATCACGGCAATATAGATGCGGCTTTATGCTTTTGTTTTTATGGTGATTTCACGACGATTCCATAAAGGTTTCGTCAACCGGAAGAACAGATTTCTAGCTGTCGTAATCCGAGTTGTAATATCATCATTTGCCTGTCCATTTGATATTAGAGTGGATCCAAGGTATTTAAAATCGGGCACTTTCTCAATCGGGCAATGAATTTAAAAAAAAGAGGCATTTTATCAGCTTCTTGCACATAAGACGAAAAGTCTTTCGTTTTATTTACATTGATCCTGAGTCTGATTCTTGCAGTTTCTGACACGTTATTTAGAATTACTTGCATTTCGTTATAACTGTCAGCAAAAAGGACTACATCATCAGCATATTTAAGATCTGTGATACGATGCTCTGGTCTGATTTGGACACTTCTTGAGTGTCGAAAAGCAGTGTCCATTATCCAGCCTATTGCATAGTTGAAAATTTTGGGGGAAAGGACGCAGCGGTGACGGACACACCTTCTTATTTTGAAGGAATCTGTCAGCTCTCCTTATAAAACCTGCGCCGACGTGCGCTCATAAAAAGTCTAATGATTGATAGCCTTTATGAGTCTGATAATTTTCTCTGGAACAAGTCACGTTCCATCACCCTCCAAAGCGCCGTCAATTGAATCAAAGGCAGCCTCAAAGTCGATAAAACACGTGACAGTGGGTTGCAAATATTTGAAGCGATGTTCCCTTTTTAACATCTGAATATCTGGTCAGCACTATCCCGCCCATGTCTGAAACTAGTTTGATTAGGGCACATCCTGCTGTCCCGTATTTCCATAAGTCTGTTGAGTAGCAGGGAAGCAAAAATTTTTGCTGAGACGTCTAATAGGGTCTAATAGGGTGATTTCTCGATAATTGTCGCAGTATGTCCTATCACCTTTCTTGCTTTGCTCCAATCATCTGGTAATATTTCTTTTTTCCATACTAAAGAGTATATTTGTTGAAAGTGCGTTGAAACGAAGGACAATGGACAACATTTGAAAAGCTTAGCCCGAAGACCATCTTCTTCTGGAGTTTTGTTGGCCTTAAGCTTATGGATAATTGAAATTATTTCTTCTTCTGTTGGAGGCTTGCAATTGCAAACGTATGCTTCGGCAATCATATCAGCTATAACAGGGGGAACAGATGGCGCTTCATGGTTAAGTTTGGCCTCAAAGAATTCTTTCCATTTTATGAGGCGATACTTAATATTTTTGATTAGTACGCCATTGCTGTCTCTTACCATTTCATTAATCGTTCTTCGAGTCATAGTTGGTTTATGAAGAAGGCAGAATAGTTTCCTATTGTTACCTAATCGAGCCGCCACCTCCATTCTTGTCACTCCAATAGAGATTTCTGTATCGCCTTGCTGCTTTCGTTGCAAATTTTTGAAGCATCCGGTAGTCAGGGTCACCTTACATTCGTGCTTTGGCAGCTTTTTCAGACAGTTGGACAATTGCTTTCGATACCCAACTACCGTTCTTCCTACTAGTATGCCCTAGCGTGGAAGTGGTTGATTTTCGGAGACATTCTTTTATTTTGGACCAGTATTCATTTGCCGTTCCAGAAAAATCATTGATATTTGTATCATTGAGATGTTTCAATAATTCAGTTTGAAATGCGCTCACTATCCCCGAATTTTTTTGAAATAATTGAAGGATCTTGGGGGATGCTGCGAGTTGTCAATTTTATGCGGATCTTGGCTTGAACCATAACATGGTCAGATCCATGAAGATTACCCGTTTCAGCTCCGCGATAAGAACGACTATCTAGTACGGAACTTTTCCAACAGCGATTGATTAAGATAAAGTCGATCTGGTTGAAGTGTTGGTTGTCCGGGGAGTTCCACGTGACTAGATATTTTCTATGACGCCAGAATCAAGTATTAGTAATAAAAAGTTCATGCTCTTCGGCATAGCGAAGAAGACGTTCCCCATTGGCACACCAGTCTGCGATGCAATATTTACCAATTGTTAAGGCCATCGCATTATGATTTACGCGAGCATTCCAGTCTCCTCCGATTATGATCATGTCATGTTTCGGCAGAGACTTTGTAAGCAGTTGAAGTTCCGCATAGAACTTGTCTTTATCACGGTCATCTGCCTACAGCGTTGGAGCATAGACACTGATGACCGAGATATTTACTCTTAAAACAGGCATAGGCCATACGGTCGTTTACCAGTTTCCACTCAATCAAAGCGGAATGGACCTTGTCAGATATGACAATCGCTACGCCATTCCGTCCCGAGTTATTCGAAGCACCACAGTGATATAGCCAGTATCTCTGGTCTGAACTAGGATTAATAATAGCTCGAAACCCAAAGTGAGGAAGACGGACCCCCGACAAGCAAGCGATATCCACACGATACTTTGACAGGGTGTGGACGCGATCGCGATCGTAGAATGATCGCTTGGCTTGCAACGTCCATAAGCGTTCTGATGTTCCACGTTGATACGGCTAATACCTCGCTGCGCGTGCAAAAGGCTGTTCCCCTTGATAGGTTTCGAGCAATTATCCTGGCTTGAGAGCACATTTTATCTACCAGCCTTGGGATCGCTTTAAGCCCGGATTGTAAATTTATCGTATGTACCACCGGGTATCATGCGCGTCGGGAGACGCGGATGCCGCATCAAGTGTATTTGACCCTTTCACCATAGAGTCACTTGGGGATAGAGTTACAGGTGGAACCCCAGCAGCCACCCGGATTTTTGACATAATAGCAGGTTTACTCCTGCCAAAGACAACAAAAATATATATATATAAAATTTAATTTAATTTGATTTATCAAATTTAATTTTTTTTTTGTTCTATTTAAATGTGACGAAGTTCCATTCACATCTGACAATGCCCGAAAATTCTGACAAATTTAATTCAGATGCTTTAATTTGCCAATTAATTTTAAAAAGTAGCGCAAATGTGAAGAAGCCACGTCAAAACTTCGTGCGTCTGCGTCTTTTTTTGCTTACTCATTTATTCACTAATTTTTGCTGATAAGTTAAAGAATTTCCCCCTTAGATGGACGTGATGTAAACGACACTTCCAAGGCTGAAAATATTAATCAAACGAAAGTATAACAAACCAAAATCTGAGCGATTTTCTCAAAATAAAACCGTCAAAATTAGGTGAGAAAATTGAATAAAACTTCAAAATAAACGAACTTTTCGTGGACTAAACTTCAAAACGGGATGAGAGACGAGGCTGAATATTTTAATTTAAATATCAAAAATATAAAGAGCGAAAATTATTTTTAAATGAATTAGGCGTCTAAATAAATTCGATTGCCTTAAAATGCTTTAAACGTTCGGATGGCTAAATATTGTGTACTTGTAAAAATTAAAAAAATTAACCTCCTTTTTCGTTGCCACCAATAATAAAGGATACCCATTAACCACACCTTTGAGAAACTTCGATGTTAGAAAATTGTGTGTCATCAACTTCATCGCTAAGAATTCGCTAAAAACATATTTCGTCAGTGAAATAGTGCAGAGAGAGTACTGCTGCATAAAGCACTGAGAAGCTGCCGAATCCGTCGGAATAAGCGAAAAGTAAACAAGTAAAGCTGATACAGCCTTCTTCCAGAGACCAGCGCCGCTGGCTGCGCTCGCACCAGTCCCACTCATTCCTCGCACCGAGCTAATTTTGCCAGGCAGTCAACGAATTACACGGTGAGTCGCCACATCACCCCAATGAAAATACAGAAACAAAAATAAAAATTATAGAAATTATAGGAATCAATAATAATAAAAGTCAGCAACAAACAACAATAAATCGTTATTGTTGATAATTAGTGACAAAAATAACAATAAACTGAAAAAATAATAAAAAAAAAAGCAAGTAAATAAAGCCGCGTCCGCGTTATAAAATTTCTGCAGCGGCCAGTTTCTTCATATAAGCCGCATTTTAGCAACATTTTTGAACGAGCGAATTTTACCATAAACGTTGCAATAGTACAAAGGGTCGGTTGGGACCACTCTAAGGAAGGACGGAACTGTCTTATTGTCTTGGTGTCTCTTTAAAGTTCGTAGTGTAGAGTAGCGGGTCGGAGTCGGCCTAGGACGCAGTAGAAAGGTGTTGAAAGTGGTGTTGCGGATGCTTAATGGGCTTTGCTGGGCCTCCCTCGAAACTGTATTTGGGAAAGTAACAAAGGCTTTCAACATGGCTCGTCGAGACGCATTTAAACGGTTTTGGCCTAGCGTCCCGAAACTTAACGAGAAAGTGGACATTGGCTTTTTTAAGCAATTTGCTTTACTCCTCTAAAAAAGGTACGATAAATGGTATTTGCCAAAGAAACGTGCTAAGGCCATATAATAAGTTTCGTATGACCCAATGTGATTATAAAACTTGGAGAGAAGCAAATTTTGCTGATAGGATTGCTTTTGCTGAACCCAAAATCTCAGATCTAAATAAGCAATAACTTTAAAATGTAATATGTGGTCGCTAATATGAAGGCTATTGCTAATATATTTGCTAGGGAATAGGATGGCTTAGTGGGTTGTTGTTCAATTCGGAGCTCCGATACTAAGGTTCTGTTGTCCGATCTACCTTGAGGATATTGCTTTGTGATATCTTTGGTAAATTAATTTAGATTCATTTGTGATATTTTAGATATTTTAATATTTTATTACTGTAATATTTATATTTTAATCTTTAATCCATAAATTTATTTATGTCCAAACCAAATATAGTTACTGCCATTTGCATGTCACTGCAGCCTTGTTTCATTATGTCCTATCTTTTTGTAATTCCAGAAGAAATCAAAACAACTATTCAGAGGAGTGAAATCTGTACCATCACAATTGGGTTTTATTGTATTATTCGTCCGATAAATATATTGTTGCGTATACAACATTTTGGTATTTTAACATATTTACTAACACTGTTTCAATATTGTTCCTGATATTCAGTGCAGTCATTCCGCAATTCGCAGGCATAATATCCAAATTCCAAACTTATTGCCCACGAAAATTTGCTTGTAGCTTGTTTCTTTATTGTTTAAATCCTGTATCTATACCGACTATTTACTCGTTCAAGCCATAAGCTGATTTCTTGCATTAATTTGGCATATGGTATATTTTCTATATATTATTTGCAGAAAATTATCACAGATCGATGCATCAAAAGCAATGGACCGATAAGAAATAAGGGAAAGTCTGTTGAGTCTGTTTTACAACAATTGTCTGATAAATAATTATGAGTTCATCGGTCTATTCTTAAATTATACCAGTGAATAATTAATTTAGATTCAATGCAGATTCAAAAATATACCAGTGAATTATATAAATTCAGTGTAGATAAATGATTCGGTAATAAATACAGTATGAACTATAAAATACAATTCAAATGAACAATTATCAGTTTTTCAGTGATAAATTTTGCGGCAGATTAATTTTAAAATTTCGCATGTTTGATAATTTAAATTGTGCGAGAAAAAGATTGAAAAAAACAAAAATATTAATATTAATTCCAGTTCCACCAGTGATTTACCATTTTAAAAAATTCTAAATTGTATGAAAGGAAAGCACGTCGAAGTTTTAGCTTTGTTTCCATCGAGATGTTGGCATGAGCTCGCCCTTTCGTTTCCCCCAAGCATCGAGGCTTGTGACGATTTTTTTGGCGAAAACAAAAAAAACCTTTCTTTTTATTGAATAATATTTGACTGGGCTCAATAGATTGCGATAGCTTTAAAAATCGTTCCACTTTCTTTATCTGCAAAATTTTGGTGAAAATAAACGAACAAAAGACACAAAAGATTCACTGTAAAGATTATGTGTTAAAATTACTAAAGCCTATATGTAAAATTAAAGTAAGGACTCATGACTTCTTTATTCGTACTATCAATTACTAAAATAAATTACCGAACGATATAGCTTGTGCGTCACTCTTAGCTATCTTAAAGATTTTATCTTTAAAAAAGATTAGATAATATCATTTATGATATTATTTAAAAAGTTCACATCATGCAGGAAGTGTGAAATCTCGATTTTTGCCATCCGATTATATATAATACAGTTAAAATTGTACTATATTTTATTATTCTGTAAGTTCCTCTTCAAATTGTTAATTTTGTCATATTTTCTTTTTCTTTTTTTTATCAATAATTATTTGTTATTTTAACTGTTGTTATTAATATAAGCATATGGCGTTTGTTGCTCCTCTTAGCTGACTTTCAATAAATAAATAAACAAGATTAAGCATTAACATTATAGAAAATTTTTGTTATCATTTTATTTTTGTTATCATTTTTAAAAAATCTAATCTTACTACAAATTATATACTCGTTGAGACGGATAACGTGAATGGTCCTATTAGAGCCACTTTGGTACGATCAGGAGAAATGCATAGGTATTCCATAGATGGTCGACATATAACCTTAGAAGGTAAAAAAAGAGTTGTTTTCAGATATGCTATCGGATAGAAAAGGATGCCTTATATTGACAGCTCTCAGATTCAGCTTAACCAGAAACAGCTTGAATTGTTAACAGAAGAAAAAGGAAGAGAGATGAATTTAAAGAAAGACGAATAAGTTTAAAAATTAAAATGTAAAAGTAAAAAATGAAGATAAATCATTGAAAATTCACTTGGAAGGAAGGATCAATAATGAAGCGGTCTCCGTTAAGAATGAGAAAATTTTTCAATGGAAAATGTTTCAGCCATTGCTTCATATGTAATGAATAGAGTGAATTCCTTATTGGTTTATAAGCAATATTTATAGTGGTTCCATCTGCCAGAAATGCTTCCGCTTCGAAAATTGGTTGGCTTTTATTGCGTTCAAATTTCGTATACAAAACCTGGAAGTTCCTCATTAATTCAGTGAAAACGAAGGAAAAAAATGAAAAAAAATGATTCAATGACAACAGAAAGAATAAAAAAATTCCATAATAATATTATTTAATGTCTTCTTTAAATTTTGATTTAATTTTCATTTCCTTAATTTCAACTTAAATTTTTTAATCTTCATCTAACTTCTTTTCATTTTCTTCATCAGTAATGCTCGCATTATTACTGGTTAAGCCGGCTCTGTTGGCTACAAGAGTCTCTAAGCTGTTCGGACCCATCGCTGATAATACTAGAAGCTTTTTCCACTGTAAATCCATACATCGCTGGTCCACCTATATATTCAAAATTCCTGACTATATCAGTCCAGGTCTTAATTGACCTCCATCTCACCTTTTAACTCTCTCCATCACAGGGTTTAGCAAGTAACGAAATATTTGCCAACTGCGTGACGAAGAATGTGTTCTAACCAGCGAACAGGACGCTTTCAATGGGACGCTTTCAATGGTACTGTTAATGGTAGATGATATTTGAGTGGTATTGTTGTATTGTGTAGTAAAGTGGTATTTGAGCAAAAATGCATGCAATCATGTGAGATTTTATCCGCTCGGTGAACCCGTAAGATATCTCTTAGACACGAGAGGTCAAAGGCAGATAGCTTATTTTAATAAGTTTTTTTATTTCATAAGCCTTTTTATTAATGATCGTAAAATTTCTTCCAAAATTTTTTAGAAGGAATTTTCGCGAAATTCTTTAAATCAGTAATAATAGAAATAATTTATATAGAAATAATTTTCGCCCACTTCTATCTATATAAACCATATATCGTGAGGGAAATTTCTGGAATAATGAGTGGAGAGGGAAATAAAGGCTGAAAATCCAAATTTCTTCAAATAAATGGCTATAATTACCTGAGTAAAATCACTGATTGTGCGAATAACTGGATCTCTTAAGATTATTATTAATTTAATCGAAGAATTCATGTGATATACCCGTTCAGCAGCTAATTCATTCGTGAAATAGGCTGGTGTTTTTTCGATTGTTATCTGTAAATTATTATCAACTCTTATTCTACTAACTGCAAATTTCTTATAATATATTGAATTATATATGAAATTTGAATTTTATTAAAAAATTGAAGAAAACAAAGGAGAAAAATTATTAAAATGTGAAAATATGACTAACAAACCAAATCAATAATTAATAATAAACAAAATAAATTAATAATAAATTAATAATAAATAATAACAAATTAACAATAAATAATAAATTAAGGTAAGCTCAGCTAATTATTAATTTGTACTAATTATTGCACTATACTAAGAGTTTCGCCATTAATTATTATAATAATTTATCTAAAAATATAAAAGACGGAATCAAGCTTGCTCTGCTTCAAGCAAATAAAAAGATTTATCCAGAGGAAAAATTAACTTCCAGTTAGCTTTTATACGAATATAGTAGCATTTATAGATCAGCTTATATTATTTTGGTTCTCATTTACCTGATTCACATAACTATAAGGCATTTGTTGACGATACCATTCCAGTCCATTCAAATACGTTTCATTGTTGCTAAAAAAGTGTAATTCACGTCGAACTACCCGTATATTTGGATGAAGTGCCAGCGCATCTAGAAGAGCACGTGTTCCTCCTTTACGTACACCAATAATAAGACACTGTGGCAAACGCTGCGCTGTCTGTGGTATTATTGGTAAAACTGACACAGAAGTGCTATAAAAATACAAAATTTAATGAATAGTTTATACGAGTTAAATTCGATTAATAATATTGTTAAATCAAAAGCATTTGACATTTGACATAGGAATTAATTCTTGTCATTAAAGTGGCATCCGGCTGGCGCTAAGGCATACCACTTCTATTTTTTACCTTTTGATGCATCCCATCATATAATCAATAGATTCAATAAAACCAGAAATGACTGCTAACCTTTCTAAGGAAAAAAATGCTTGAAAATTATCAGTACTCAAGAAATGAGATGGTTCAATATGATTTGTTGGCCACGGATCAACATAAACATCAATCACAGATAAATTGATTACAAGGATTATCGATAATATAAAACAAGCAATTAAAATTAGCAATTTGCTTGATAAGATCTCCATAACCGTTCACTCATTTTTATCTAAAAATTGGTTTAAACCTGAAAGAAGTTCGTGAAAAATGATTAGATCAAGCGCAATTCCAAAAATTTTCTCGTAATAAAAGAAGTCACCATTGACTAAAATCTTTCAAAACTATTATTTACAATTAATTCTATTAATTTTCATTAAATATTTATAAACATTAAATATTTTTTATTTAACCTGATTTATAGTTGAAGTTTTTTTTTTTAAACATCAGTAAATTATAGAATTAAAAGGCATTCTACATGAATTCAAATATTATACAATCCCAAAAATAAAATATTATGCTCAACTATTTAGTTAATTAGTTCATGAGCTGATCAAATCCAAATATTTGATGAATGGCATAATCAAAAAATTTAAAAAATTATTTTTTATACCGTTAATCCAGCACACTCATTAAATAGATCTCCTAAATCTTTAAAATAGCTCACAGGATAGGGATAGTCGAGATGGTCAATTCTAATCCTCACGGATGCAAATCTATCATTGAAGACGAAGTTTTCGGAAAATGTTGTGAATTAACGTGATTGTCTATTTTCACTTGTTTCCCTGGCAATTTTAGGAATTAACCCTACCAGGAAAATTTTGAAAGAATGCTAAATAAATATTCATTTATTATCCGATATCATTATACTTATATTATTTCCATAGATGTAAAGATAAAGTTACTGGAAAAACTGAAAAAAACTTTCATAATTAAGAAATATGATACAATCGAAAAAGAAGAGAGAAAAGAGGTGAGAAAAGTCATAAAATACTCTTACACAAAGCCATCGTAACTCTTAACTGAGCAACATTTTATCCAACAAATCGCTAAAAAATAATGTACCGAAACAGATGGTGGTGGTTCATATTAATGGGTATTGAGCTTTTATAAATCTGACTAATGCCGATAGCATTCGCTTCAAAGGTCATATAATCATTTCCAGTCGGTGAATGGAAATAATGAGGCAGACAATAGGCTTAGTATTATTATTTACATGGTCTTGGAATGGAAAACTTTCGATTCTCTGCCACATAATTCTCAAGCATCGCTAAATTAAGTACGAAACAAAAGTAAAGTAAAAGTTTTATTTTCGGAAAATATTGCATCATTTGGGGCATTAAACTGTTCTAAAATTTTACGATTATATGAATTCAACACGATCTTTTTCGAAATAATAATTTTTATTTCTGGCATTGGTTACTTCGCTGACTTGTGGGACTAAATAAATTTTGCACTGGTGGGGCACAAACGAGTGCCAGGTTTATGGAAGGCAAGTTTGTTCCTATTGGGAGTAGAACACCAGTTTCAGCACTCCAAAATGGGAGCAACATATTGAGCCATTCTACATAGGCTTTCTGCTTGAAGAAGGCAATAAAATATGCCATAGGAAATGAAATAAGTTATGAGCCATGTCTTTTGAGGAAAAAAACCATCAAAATGATTCGGTCAAATCGTTCGAATTTGTATAGTTGAAATTAAATAAGGACTTCTACGAGGACTTAATGGGGAATTTAAATATGGTAATGTGCCGGCAATTGAATTGAAAATTAAGCAAATAAGTAGAGGGAATAAAACAAAAAAAACGTCAAGAAATTCCATAGCAAGTAAAATTGTTGGCAAAATATGATTCTTTCAGCACCATTTTTGATCTGGATAGCTCCACTAAACGTTAGACCAGGTTTCATTTTTAATAATCAAGAGACAAGAATGGGGAAGCCATGATTTTGGGATGAGTCTCCCGTGCCATCCTGGTGAACAGCAATTCACGGCACCCTTAATAGAAACAGTCAAATATGATAAATCGATGTCGCAAAAATTAGTGATGCAATCCAAATTTCTAAAGTAAAGAAAATTATAGAAAATTATAAAAAAATTTTTTGAATACGAAATGAAGCTTAAGCCAAAGTAAAATAAAAGTAAATGATAAGGCTGGAGGATATAATGGGTTCTTTCATTTATTGTTTGTCACCCCATTTAATCTTCAAAATTCGCTTTCTTAGTCATGAAATTCACTCATGAAATTCACTCTTCACGGCTTTCATTTTGGCTGCCTCCAACTATTAAGAGTGAGACACTTCCATTAAATATTCGTTTTTTTTGTAAGGACACCATTTCTGCTTAAGCTCTAATTTAGTCGGAGCTCCACATTAATTTTTACCAGAGGTAAAGTGCGGAGTGGCCAGTAGTCACCATCCTAATGACAATTACAACAACTCATTCTGCCCTAAACTTCTACCCTCATCTTTTGCTCATTTAGCTTAAAAAATAAAAATATAAATTAACGGAAAATTTTCAATGAGTTGTTTAAGCCTTCTTTATTCTGTCGTTGTTAGAGGATCAAAAAATTGTGGTAACTTTCGTTCCATGCGAAATGAAGCTTAAGCCAAAGTATATTTGGTACAAAATATAAAATCTCGTGTGCAATTTGAGCTATTTATGCTACTTATTAATAAATTTTTTAATGAAAATTGAAACATGTTGCGATAATTTAAACAGATAAAAGAATATAACGAGATAAAATAAATGATAAAGATAAGAGAAAAATTGGTGATGACGAGAAATTGTGAGAAGCAGCAAATAAACAACAAACCAACTGATCATCTCAGACTTTTACTATTGTTTCTCGACCATTCAGTAATTCATTCTTTCTTATATTATGGACAACTAAATGTTTAAATCGAAAACTTTCAAAATAAAATGATATTTTATAATTATTTTTATATTTAATAATTAATATGCGATTTTTAATTCGATATGTTTCCATAGTTTTCAAATGTAGCAAATTCAAATCTAATGTATTTACCTTTTTTCTTCCTCTTCTAACAACTTTCACCATTATTGGTTAGGCTGGCTGCACTGGCTACAATGGCATTTCCAAGCGGCGCAGTCTGACGCCATCGTCGACAATAATAGAAGCCATTCCTTTTTCTATCGCCTAAATCCATATTGCTGGTTCACATATATGTTCAAAATCTTTTCTGACTGTATCAGTTCAGCTCTTGATTGGCCCACTACCTATCAAAGGGCTTAGAAAATAATGAAATATGAGTCAACTCTTGTGATGGACAACCGAGAACGTGCCCTAAACAGCGAAGGCGACGCTCTGTCATAACATTATTAATGCAAGTGGTATTGAATGATGGTGGACGCGATCGTGTGAGATTTTATCCATTCGGCGAAACTGTCGTTTCGATTTCGATTAAAATTTCGATTAAAATTAAACCATCTTATTCGATTATCTTTTGATGCATATCATTAAACGTGAGAATGTGGTGCTGAAAGCATTAATCTCTCGTAATTACATATATATAAATGATGTAACCATTGTGATACTATATTCTACTATTTATCTTTATGCTGATGATTGTAAAATTTATTAATCTCATGGTAGATCAGATAGTTTATCTCCACTGCAAGAGGACCTTAAGAGAATAGCCAGCTGGCTATATGACAGGTAAATTACCCTTTCCTTTCAAAAATGTAGCGTTCTTCATATCAATTCCAAAAGTTCCAATTTTACTGATCTTATTATTTATGGCAATATAATCAGTAGAGTCTCGCATATTTCCGATCTTGATATAATCATGGATGAAAATCTCGATTTCGATCTTCACTGCAGAACCATAGTAAAGAAATCCTCAAAAATACTAAATTTTATTTTTCATTCGTTTAAAAACAAAACTGAAGATTTTTTTCTCAAAATATATAAATGTACAAAGCGTTCGTTCGGCCACTTCTTGACTACAATGCTACATGTTACTCCCCGAGATATCGCAAATCAAGTAAAATAATTGAAGGACTCCAAAAATATTTTATAAATAGATAATATTTATTTATGATATTGTTTAAAAAAATTCACATCATGCAGGAAGTGTGAAATCGCGATTTTTTACCATCTGATTATAGTTATTTCGATTTGTACTATATTATTATTATTATTTTGCAATATCCTCTTTATTTCATCTTTAAATTGTTTATTTTATGTTAATTTTATTATTTTTTGTTATTTGTCATTAATTATTATTATTTGTTTTAACTGATGTTATTAATATAAACACATGGCGTTTGCGCCCTGCTTGGCTGGTTTTCAATAAATAAATAAATAAATAATCTCTTGTAATCTACTCACTTGTAAAATGATATCGTCTTGACAGCAATTGGATCCAGCCAAACCAGAAATGGTGACAGTAGGGTAGAACATACATATAAACATTTAGCCTTCCTATATAATTGGCAGTTATTTGGATATGAATTTTTGAATTTTTCTCCCAATTATCCATGAATTTTCAACAAAAAGGATAGATGAAATTGATTTCTTTCGAAATCCTTGTTGTCTTCTTTTTTGATTTTCTTGATGGAAAAATTTAATGTTTATTTAAACAAAAAACGTTAGAAATAATGAATGGAGGATTAGACAGATTAAAGGTTACAAACTTTTTCAAATTTTTTTGCAGGTTTTTAAACTGCAAACGGAAATTATAAATATTTTTGCGATGTTCATCCTACATATCAATAGAGAGGCTTGTAAGAGGCTTGTAAAACTGAATCGTAAATAAACAAAAATATTTTGCACATTTTCGTTTGCCGAATTTTTATACAAAACTACAGAAAAATTGTTATAATCATAGAATTAATGTGTTTTTTCTGAATATTAAATGGGAAATATCAGATCGAAATCGTAAAATGTCGTTAAGATTTTTGTTAATATGATATATGATTAAAAAATTGTAAATATTATTATCGTAAAATTTATTTCATTATACTATTAACCGTCTTTGGTTTGGTTAGCTACTCACTTGCGGTAGCGATAATATCCGATTTCCTTTTTGGTGACAACTTTATTCCAGGCCATGAAACGAATTTATGGTACTGGATCTTAATACTGGAACCATAATACCACTAGTACTTAATACCACTAGTACTTTGTCGCAACGATTTCCATTCATTGACATTGATTTAAACTTCGATAAAATTTCATAAAATTCTCAATAAAATTTTTTTTATTTTAATGCAACTTTAAAACGTCCATTTAAAACGTCCATTTAGATTCACTTTTAAAATTTATTAAGTTTTCCCTTCACTAAATTTTAATTCTTTAAATTGTGAAAAAATCGTAAAAATTGCGAAATGAAATGAATAATTCCATTTATGGCAATATGTAGATGAAAGATTTGAGAGAATAAACAAAGTGCCTTATTCAAACATGAGAAAATGCACTTCAAGGCATTTCAGGCATATTTCATATTTTTTTCCAACAAGGAATTATGAAAAGAATAGGATAATAGAAATTCGGTTTGTGGTGAATTCACAATATTCTGTGAATCTCGATTTTTCATGATATACACTTGTTCTTTAATCTCAGTTAGCTATTAATTGTTAGGACGAGAAGCAGTGGAGAGTCACCTGAAAATAGTACCAAACTTTTGTTTTAAATGGCAAGATTTGGTCTTTTTATGTAGCAAAGAGCCCATGAAGTTAGAATTCTGGTCGACTTTTTTTGGCATATAATTATTTATGTTTATATTTTTGATTAAGAATTTGTTAGTATTCGATGTTTGAATAAGTGTTTTATTTATACTCTTAATCTAACAATTTCAAACTTAAAAATGGCTAAGCGATCAAAGGGGATAGCATAAACATTCCCCTCGATTTAATCCCCATCACTTTTCTTACGGGTTGGTTACGCTGTATGAAGAAAACATTAAAATTTTAATGAATAAGGAAGGCATCTATTATTAATTACTGAGATTTAAGATGATTTCAATGATTTTCAAAAATTGCCTATAATTGCCTATAGTGACCAAAGTTTGGCATATTTTCTCAATTCATTATCTTCTTGAAGAGGCAATGGTGAATCATTTTAAGGTTGTACAACAATCAAAAGCTAATATAAATATAAGTTTTTGCCTTACCATTATTGTCAGTTCGTCATCTATTATATGGAAATTAATTTTATTCTATAAGAAAACTGGGCAATGTTTGAGAATTATTGAAACACACTAAAAATGAACGAAAATGATTATATAACACACGAGCGATCGTAATAATGATCGTTGCAAAAAAGTGATTTGAAAATTTATTTCAGAACTAAACTAGCCAAGTTTTCTTAAGTTCACTGTTTTCACAATGACCATTTCTGTACTTCTAAGAATTATATATAAGAATTTATATATTAATATAATAATTATAAATCAGAGCAGTTAACTTGAAGCAAAAAATCATGAATCTACGAACTAAAATCAACAATATACTTGAAGATGGCACTATTCCTGCTATTATACCACTATAACAGAACTGGTTTAAGCCACATAGAATCAAGAAAAATAACATCATCTCTTGAAAAATGAGTTTAAAGAACAAGGCACAATACGGAGAACTTGGTCAGCTGGCTATAAAGTGGTGTGGAGATTGAAAATAAGATCGAACTGGTTCTCATTCAGAAACTCTAGAAATTGCTAAGCAAAAGCTCATAAGCTCATAGCACTAGCTATCTGACTCAGGAAATAAATTTAAAAAAAGAAATAGAGGCCAAAAAGAATGTCCTATTCTTCCAAGAACCATTAAAGGTGAAATCTCAATTGTACCATAACAATATCGTAATAGTAAAGCTATCGAAAGCATAGTAAGCATAGTAACAAAGATTCTAAGAATAAGTCACAGCAATCTCTTGGGAATAGAATGGCTCAGTGGATTGTTGCTCAATTGGGAAATTGGGAGGGATGCTGAGATTCGATTCCCCGTAGTAGTAAAACTCTACCGGGTGATGCTGACTCACCTGTATCTCCATTGCCAGCCATGGCTTATTGTCCAATGCGACAAGCCAGAGGAGCGAGGAGCAAGAACCTGGTGCCAGCATAGTTAGTCAGTCTGATATATAGCTGGCATGATCAAATAAAAAGATAGAGAATTTTTACTTTATTTTGGCACTTTCTCTGCTTGGTCTTTCTCCAATGTATGTTGATAATTCAGACATTTTCTTAGTATCCTTTGTTCATCCTTTGACCTTTGGAGTTTTCACATCGGCCTCCATGTTTCTTTCTTTGATCATGTCATAGTTATATAGAAAACCTGTTCAGTGCTTAAACTAGATGCGAGAAGAAAATTGTGAATAATAGGACCAAGATTCTGTGGGATTTTCTATCCAGATAGACAATTACTACTGACCAATGTCCTGGTAGTAGATGAAAATTAGGCGACAGATTTAACAATATCAACTGAAAGGAACATTAGGAAGAAGGAGGAAGAGCTAGAGAAATATCAGAGATAAAAAGAGGAAATACAAAATGGAGATGGGGGAAAGGAACCAAGCAACCCCAGTGGTAGCTGGAGCACTAGGAGATGTGACTTTTAAACTGGAATACTAGCTCAAACAGATTCCAGGAACAGAGACCTCTGTTTATAAAAGCACTCTGTTGAAAGTTGAATGTTCACCATTTCACCATAAGCAAAACCAAAAAATAATTTAATCCTTTCTGTTAAGTCACTAAATTATAAATATTAAAAAGCCAGTAATAAATTTTGCAAAACCAATTTTATTAAATCCGAAAATCCGTAAGAAATTCTTTTCTGAGAATCAGTCATTCAGTTTGGTGACAGATCGAATCCAACTATTTGTGTGCTCCAATTATTATTATAATTATTATAGCACAGATTCTCAATAATCTCCACGTCTGATCAACTGCAGTTGATAATACCGCTGATTAATATTCATCTAATCTCTTATATTTCAGACCTTGACTGATAAAAATTCAGATTTTCATTGCACCATAGTTAAAAATTAAAAGGCTGTTAAATATTTAAACAATATTTCAATATTCAGAAATTGTAAATTCTGAAAAGATCTAAAGACTTCTCGCAGGAATATATGTAAGATAACATATAGAGCACAGAGCAGTGTTGCCGAATGGCAAATACAAAAACTACTCTTTGGCGCAGCCATCCTTCGCCTTTCTTCTTGGGGTACTTGTCGCACAGATCTTTTTGTCTGAATTATTGAGTCGAATTGGGTTGTTGAATTGCTAGTACGAATTTATTGGAACACGCGCATCCGAAGCAGTTTTCTTCCTCACAATATTTAAGCTCTAACAATAAATTAAAATCATTTATGATAACGTATAATTCAGTTCTCAGCTTCTTGAAATCGCCTTTTATTTCTTTATGGTTGTTGCCAAACATCGAATTATTTGTTACTTTTTAAATTTCAATTCAATTACTGCATTTTTCGAAAAAAATCTCGAGTAACAGAATATATCACAGCGTCATATTTACCAACCTTTTTAATTCAGTGAAACACTGATTTCCTGGCAAGTGTCATCTTCAATAAAATTTAATCCAGGAAATCAGCTTAAAACCTAGAAAAGCAATCCAACACTCCAAGGTAACAAGATAATGCCGTGACCTACGACCCAGACTGCTGAAGCAATAAAGCAATATGAGAAAGCAATGGGCAAGAGAGTGCTAGCAATTCTTACAACTAAAGACGGGGATCGAATCATTGCCAAACCTCGACGTTAAATAAAGGCTCAAGTTATTCGATAAATAAAAAATCGAGTAAAATTGGGAAAAGAAGAAACGTTTTTATAAATTTTTTCTTATATATATGAAACATTTATAATTTTTATGGATCTACAATTTGGCATTTTTGAAGAAACTGGAACTGAAATAAGAAACTTCTTTATGAACAATATCGCATTTCACTATAATACCTTTACGCCAAACGACACCACACCTTTTCATTTACTATTTATTTCAGATACATTTGTGGATGAACGCTTTATAGAATGAATGGCGATGATAATACCTTTTCTGTTTCGCTCTTTGTAGATCTAAATATTGTTAACAATCTGAATTAATATTATGCTTCATGCATGGCTTTTTGAAAAATCGAAAAGGCAATAATGAACATTTTTTATCGTTTTCAATCGAATATGAAAATTGTTTTATAGAAACACATCTATTTATAAACTGCATACTTCTCAAATTTTGTTTTGAAGTCCAAAAATTGGTCTAAGTGCATATACATATGAAAAAGTATCGATATGATGCCTTTTTTTACATTTCTTCTTTTTGCACAAAAGCAAACAAAATTTCGAACATTTTTTTTTGAAAGATGTAAAGCTGTCTGACTCCAAAAGCAACAATGGTCGATTTAACAACAATAATATATAATAAGAGGCAATTAAAAGAAATATAAAAAAACCCAGAAAACTTTTCCATAAGTTTTTTCGACAGAAATTTTAAAATAGATGAAAAATAAACATCTATAATATTTTATATAAGAGAAAACAAATCAAAAAGATCCAAAATTTATCTCCAAAAGAAAAATTTTGATTCAAATTTATTTTTTATAACTTTTTTAACATTTTTACTCGCCATCAGTTCCCACGATCAACATAAAAATAATTAATTTTTAGAAGTAAAAGGTTCTCTCAAATATTTACTGAATTTGCGGATTTCTTCGGCACCGCGAACTTCATTATCTAACAAAGGTAATTTTGTTACATTAAAATCTTCATACAAATCTGCTATCTGAAATCATCGATTTATACTTTGGGCAACATTTATAAATTCAAAAAGGAAAATTGAAAGAGAATAATGAGTTAATTGGAAAACCAATTTTTAAATGAAAAAATGAACCTGTTCTAAATATTTTGATTGTATTTTAAATCTTGCTCGACATTTGTTACATTTTATACAACTTTCATTAACCTCGTCCGGATACAACAATTGATTAACAATTATATTGTGGGTATCAATGTTCTGAACATTAAACAAAATGGAATGATTAATTCAAAAAAATAAAAATTGGAAAGTTGATATTGAAAATAAAAAAGCCTTCCAGAGAGAATACAATCGAAAAAGAAAAAGAAATGGAGTATGAAAGCATAAGGGTCTCATCAAGATAAATATTTTTTTAGGTAAACATTCTCTTATTTCCTTTTCCTTTTCCTTTTTTCGAATCAAATATAATTCAGTTTTTAATTTCCGTGACCATCTTTATCCAATAAGCAAAATTTTTTCATAAAATTAATCCATTTAATTAGATAAATCAATCAACAAAGGGAAAAAGAAATTTTTGTTATTCTGGCAGTAAAAATAAAATATGAAATATATTAAGAACAAATTAAGAACAAATTAATAAGATTAAATAAACGTACTTGTTTTGTTAACTCTTGGATTAATCGCTCAGTTTCATAAAGAGATAAAAATTCAGCAATACAAACGCAAATAAAAGTCGTCAAATTCTGTAAAAAATAAGAATTCAAAAATCGCTCACGAAAATATATAAACATTATAAATTTTATTCTATTGTAGATAATATGAAGAAAATCTATGGAAAATTGTACGAAATGTTTCACAAAATAAAAATTCATAGAAATAAAAGCAAAACTGATAAACGTACTAAAAACATTTTCAATTTCACTTCATAAGTTCATGAAATATATCAACTACAGCATTTTGCAAAAAAATAATTTTTATAAATAATGATGATAAATAATGTATTATAGTAATAATAGTAATAATAGTAAAATATAAAGGATAGAAATACAGGATTTTTGAACTGTAAATTGATGGCTTTTACAATTTCAAGCGTTTCTTTCATTTTCTTCACCGCTTCTTCTGTTGACACTTCACCAACTCCTAATATTCCACTCATCTAAATAAAACTATATGATGTGAGTACATTTATCTATCGATTGTAGAGGGTTCGATCGACTGTTCTGCGCTAAGATAATTAAAAATTATTAAATACTAAAGGTATTTCATAATAAAATTTTTTCGGAAACTTCTACAAGTTTCTCCAAAATTACTCTTCAATAGAACAGCTTTATCTTCTGCAAATTATATACAACTTTAATTTTTTTAAGTTTATTTTTCCTTTAATTTTCTATTTTTACCCTTTTATCCTCAATTTTCACCTCACTGTCTCCGACAAGAATAAACCTGCTATCAAAAAAATCCGAGTGGCTGCCAAGTGATGAAAGGGTTTGATTTATTTGACACGGCGTCCTCGGACGCGCATGATATTCGGTGGTAAACATGATGTGTATGTAATCCAGATATAATAAAACGACTCCAAGGCTTGTGAATAAAATGTGTTTACAAGCCAATACTCGAAACCTATCAAGAGAAATGAGAAATTGAGAAATCTGTTGACTTTCTGCGCGCGAAACGAAGTGTTAGCTGGGAACGTCGGGATGCTTATGCAAGACAAGTGACCACTGTTCAACCATTCCAAATATCATGTGGATGTTGCATTTTTGAACGTCCGTCTTCCTCAATTCGGGCTTCGAGTAATTATTAGGCTTGGCTATGAATAGAGATATTGGTCATAGCAGTGTGATGCAACGGATAACTCGGGGCAAAATGGTATAGCGATTGTCATCATCCGAAAAAGCCCACTCCACTCTAATTGCTTGGAAACCGATAAACGACCATATGGCTTATATCCGCTTTAAAGGAAAGTTCTTCAGCCTCGGTCATCAGTGTATATGATCCAACTTTGTCTGCATATTTAATTATTAAGCCGAAAGGTAATATGATCATAACCAGGAGAGATTGAAATGCGCGCTTAGACCATGGTCCTGTCATAGTGAACTTGGTTGACAATATCATAGAAGTCCCATGCGCCAATGAGGAACAACTTCTTGGCTTTACCAAAGAACTTTTTGTTTACCCTTTTAATGTTTGCTGCCGACATCTAAGAAGACAACAAACTCCCAGAACAACTAATCCTCCATCCAGGACTACATTCTACCGTCATTTGGAGAGTTCCATACTGGGAAAGTCGGGATGCTTAGTCGTTCCCATCAAGTGCTAAAATGAAAATGGATCAAACCTTATTATAGCTCGAGCCAAGATTCGCGTAAAATTGAGAACTTGCAAAGAAAACTATCAATTATCTCAAGAACTTGGAGAAAGTGAACGCATTCCAAATTGAATTATTGAAGCATTGACAGAACTTTAATTTAATAAATAATTATCAATTATAAATTAAATTAATAATTCAAAGACTTTAATAGAAAGGCAAATAAATACTGATCCCAAATGAAAGCATGTCTCCGAAATTTAGCCAATTCCACGCTAAGATCTTCTAATAGAAACTATGCTACTTGGGTCTGTAGAAGAAAAGGCTGCCAAAGTACGAATGGTAGGAGATCCAGGAAATATCGAATGTTTCGAATTGCAACTACAGGAGATCGACGGAAAAAAAATCACTATTGGAATGATTTAGTCTTAAAAATGGAGACTACAACCCGATTAGACGATAATAAGAAACGATTCCGTCTTTTTCACAAAGCAGTTGCAAATCTGGACAGATAAGTGAAGTAATATGGAATGGCAATGGTATACCTATGAAGACTATTGATGATCGTCTCACAATATGGAATTCATTGCGGCAAAACTTAAACTACCATGCACTCTTGCCTGATATAATTGATTCGCTCGTTGAGCTATACATCTGCAAGTGTGAACCGCCAGCAGAATAGGAAATATTCTCTGTGATCCAAAAGCTTTAGAGCAATAAAATTCCGAGAGAAGATGATCTCCTGCTTAATTCTTAATAATTCTTCAAATGTTATCCATCATGATTAAAAATGCAAATTATCGAAGTGCTCAATAAAAAAACTGATTATCTCTGAACTCATTCTTAACTTTCCAAAACTAATCCTTTGTGAAATAAAAACATGGAATTCCGTGGAATTTGATAAATTACCGATGAGAAAAAATACAATTCCATTAAAGAAATGATTATTACGGAGAAAAAGATTCAAAAAAGGCGAAAAAGACATAATGAAATTTTAAAAAATTTATAGCTTAAAAAAGAAATGAGAAAATAAATATGGTAAGAAATATAGTAAATTACCAGAAAAATTAAGTCTTATCATTTAAAAAATTATAATTACATTTTAAAAAAGTGACCTGAGAAAGAATTGGTGATAAAGAGCTTTGAATATTGAGAATTTTGCCTAAACTACTTTCAATAATAGTTGGAAGCTGCAATAATCGTAAGGTGTGACCAGTCGGAGCCGTATCGAAGACAATAACTTCGAAGTCCATAGAATTTATCAACCTGTAAATAAGATAACCGTTTCCTCAGGAAAAAATGCAATTGTATAAAAAATTAAAATTTCTACGAATGTGAATTAATATTTAATATAAATTAATGTAAAGCAAAATGATATTGTGAATTAACAACTACAATGAAAATTTTAAGTACTTGATCATTTGAGAGAAACTCATCGCTTCATCTATTCCAGGCAATCCACCAACCATATCTTGCAATATCTGACGGCCAATGCCCATCATATCTACAAAGATCGAATAGAAACTTCTTCGAAAGCTTCCTCAGAAACTTCCCCAAAAGAAACATAAACATATAAACATATAAAGTAAAAAAAAACAGAACCTGGTTCGTCAGAAACAGGAGCTGTTGTTGCTTCATTTCCAATAACAGCCTCAATTTCCTGGAGATAAAAAGTGATAAATGGAATGAAAAATTCCTTTAATAAAAATTTAATAAAAAAACTACAGGCGTAAATTATAATTATATTTTAATTTATATTTTAATTTACTTAGATACAAAAATATTTCGAAAAACATCTGTAAAGCCAACCATTGCATAAAGATTGTTAAATCCATTTACAACCGTTGGTGTTTTGCCAAACTTTTGAGCAAATGCATCAGAAATATTATGAGCTGGGTCTGTTGATATAATAAGAACACTTCGTCGTACTTCTGATAACTGTGCTGCCAATGAACAACTGAAAAAATAATAAACTTAAGAAAATTACTTTAATATTTACCATTAAAATAATTTTCCACACGGTTACAGAAGTTATAATTCAATGGCAAAATATTTATGATTAATTTCAACTCGCTGAAATGAAAACTATTTAAAAATTCCAATAAATAACAAAAATTTTTCATATTCTTGAAAAAATACTGGAAACAATTTGAAAAACAAGGAATTTTTCAAGATATATATATATTATTGACAAAATTCATTAAAAATGAATAAAAATAACCTGCAAGTAGTTTTGCCAACACCACCTTTACCACCAACAAAAATCCATTTCAACGATTGTTGTTCGATAACATTTCGTAACGATGCTTCTAAACCATCATCCATCTTGAAAATTAATAAATAATTTTCATTAATAAGCGAAATATATTCAAAAAAAAAATTAATAGGCAAATTAAAGATAAATTTGAAATTAGATAAGATTTAAAAAATTAAACTCTATTTCAACCGTTTTACTTTAAAGTAATTAATAAAATAAAAAAAAGGAAGAAAAATTTGATAATTTATCAAATAAAATTAATAAAATCAAATAAAAAAATAAACTGTTATAAAAGATTAACAAATAAATTTTTCTGAAGTGTATTTTAAATTCTTCTTATTGTAAAAAGGAGACCAGATCATTTTTCAAGTTTATTTGATAAAGATAGCACATGCTTCAATCAGTCAAGTTTTGTGAAATTTCATTTTTTAGTCCAGTAAGATTATGTAAATTAGATAAGACTTTCACTGGACAAATAATGCAAAGATAAGCAAGATGAACAAAATATAGCGATAAAAGTTATGAAAAAGTTTCAAGGATGCTTATTTTCGAAATTTACAGGACATGCAAAAACTCGATAAACCTGAAGACCTAAGGATTTTCTGCACCCCATAGTCGAAGCAAATATTGAATCGGAAAATTACCGGATAAAATAGCTAACTAAAGAAATACTGAATTACCTGCATACTATGGAGAAGCATAAGTTAAATAAAGGCCATTCCATATAAACTCACTATCGAATAATCACTTAAATAATATTTTTCTATGCTTTGCTTCTTTCTAGACAGAAAAGGAATCATTTCTGGACAGACATATTTTTTATATCATTGCTATTCTTAGCATTATATTAAATTTGCCTCATGGAAAGAAATGACTTCTTCTTAAACAAATGGGCAACTATTGTACGATAATGCCAGTCAATGGTTATCAGCAAAAAATCCAGAATCTGGCTTTACTTCATGCATTTTATAGCTTTTCCTCTTCTGATCTGTTCAGATATTCTGATATTGCAGCACTGTTTAGTAAAAAAAATTTCATTCTTTTGAAACAAGAAAGATAAAGTAAAGAAATATATTTCAAATCCAAGAATGCAAGTTTTTTAAAAGAAATTCTCGAAAATTTTTAGACTGGGAAAAATTGTAGAAGACAATGGTGATACGTAAATAACCAATACTATGCAATTTTTTTGATATTTTAATTCAGATTTTTAAGAAAAAATATTACTTGAAGAACTACAAATGAAAATTTGAATTGAAATTTTTGCCAAAATTCATAATATTAATAATCAAGTATGTATTCACTATCGTTTTCTATAACTCTTTCCCATCTAAAAAACAATTCATGAATCCCTTTTCTGCAGAAGCTTATACCTTTTGATAACCCGCAATCCCTCAAAATCCCTCAACTATCTCAAATTCGTGCGCACTTCAAACCGAATTATTGAAGCATCTGGTATAAATGTCAATGATTTTTCAGGAACGGCAAATGAATACTAATCCCAACTAAAGGAATGTCTCCGAAAGTTAGCCGCTAGGGTGTACCAGATAGTAGGAAGTGCGCTAATTGGGTATCGAAAGCAATTGTCCAACTGTTTGAAAAAGACGACCAAAGCACGAATGTCAGGCGACCCTGACACATGATGCTTCGAAGATTTACGAGCAGCACGACGGGACAGGAACCGTTGAAATGATATGGTCTTGAGAATGGAGACGGCCACTCGGTTAGGTGATAATAGGAAACTATTGCGCCTTCTTCATAATGCAACTTAACTTGGAAAACGATCAGTAAAGTGGTAAGGGACAGCAATACATGGCTGTTAAGAGTATTAAGGACCGCCTGATAAGATGGAAAGAATTCTTTGAGGACAAATTTAACCATGAAGCGGCATATTTTGCCACTGATATACGTTCACCGAACCATATGTTTACGACTGCGAGCCTCCAACAGAAGAAGAAATAATCTCTGTCCATACCTTAAGGCCAATAAGATTCCGGGAGAAGATGGTCTATGGGCTAAATTGTTCAAATCGTCCTTCGCACCTTTAACAAATGGACTCCCTAGTATGGAGAAAAGAAATATGACCAGATGACTGGAGCGAAGCAATTCTGCTCCCAATTCCCCCAAAAAAATGACAGGATATATTGCAACAATTATCGAGGAATCAGCCTATTCGACGCCTCAGAGAAAAATTTTGCTTCTTTTTTACTCAATAGACTTATGGAAGTATGGGATAGCGAGATGCCCTAATCAAGCTGGACCGTCAAGAAGAGGCACTTTGGAGGCCACGCGACGGTATTCCAGAGAAGATCATTCAATTCATAAAGGCATTTTATGAGCGTACATCGACGCAGGTCTGTGTATATGGGGAACAGTTCTTTGAAATAAGAACTGTTGTTCGTCAAGATTGTATATCCTTTCCCCCACAGTATTCAACTATGCGATAGACTGGATAATGGACACCACATGTTAGTACTCAAGAGGTATCCAAATCAGTCTGGAGCATAGCATTACAAACTTTGAATACACTGATGATGTAGTCCTTTTTGTTGACAGTTATGACGAAATGCAAGTAATGCTGAATAATGTGTCAGAAACTGCAGCAAGAATAGGACTCATGGCCAATGTATACAAAACGAAAGTCGTTTCGCCTTATGTACAAGAAGCTGATAAAGTACTTCTTTTTATAAATTATTCATTACCGGTAAAGGAAATGCCTAGTTTTAAATACTTTGGATCCACTCCAATACCGAATGGCCAGGCAAAAGACGATATTACAATCCGGATTATGGCAGCAAGAAATGCAATCTTCCGGTTGATGGAACCTTTATGGAACGATCCTGAAATAACCATAAAAACAAAAGACCCCATCTACTATATAGCCGCGATTCATTCAATCTTGCTATACGGCTGCGAGAGATGGCCAATGAGAGTGAAGAATATTAGGAAGTTATCAGCCCTTGACCACTCATATCTATCACATGATCGCATCCATCTTCATTCAAGTACCACTTGCATTAATAATGTAATCATAGAACATTTCTTCCGCTAGTTAGGGCACTTTCTCCGTCATCCACCACAGGAATTGACGTATATTTATTTTATACATGCATACTTGCTAAACAGTGTGATAGACGGTGTCAAAAGCGAGGTAGGCCAATCAAGACCTGGTCTGACACAGTCAGAAAATATTTTGAAGATTACATATAGGTGGACCAGCAATATATGGACTTAGACGATGGTTAAAAGGAATTTATTGTCAGCTTACCAGTAATGATGAGAGCCGTTAGAAGAAGAAAAAAGAAGATGGTGCTTATTTCCATGATAACCGTTGGCATTTACGACTAATATTACCGTTGAATTCTCAATTTTCATCACTAATGTCAATTTTGTACAAAAATTCCTTTCCTGTATAGAAAGAAGTGAAGCATATTGACCTTTGAAACATGTGCTGTTTACTAAGTCGATGTGGAACCCAAACATCATATTTGACCTCCCATGGTTTAAAAATGACGGAATATTGTCTGTTATCCTGCTTACTGGATTGCAAACAATTGCCATCAATTTTTAAAGACATATCGAATTTTAGGATGTCCTGTAAATTGTAAATTGAAAACACCACTTCAAATTTCGAAAACATTTCTGGCGCTTATTTTTTTTTCATATCTTGCTTTTGGAGACACCCTTGTTGTTATAGCACTGTATTATTTACCAAACGAAATTTACCAATCGTAGAGTATACAATACAGCAAATATTATTCATATATTATTTCAAATTACATTACTCGACGTGGAATACCGATGCTGAGATTCTATTCCCAACAAGTAAACTTACCCTGGTGGTGCCGGTGACTAACTTGCATATCGCCAAAGGCGTATTTGTCTAACTCGACAAGCCAGAGGAGTCCTATCAGCAGTGGTGGGTGCTTTTTACAAAAAACTGGACCAATGTACAAATTTTCACCAAACTAATAAATGAATCACACTATTATACAAAAATGAAATAATTTGCTCACTTTTTATAAAAACCACTTCAATGAGAATTCAACTCGGAAAAACATTATTTTTTAGAGAACCTAATATAAGCAATTTTGTTACAATAATAATTATATTAGCAAAAAATAAGTTGAAAGAAAAAAGATGATTGAAAAGTTAAAAGATAATCGTGAAAAAGTGCGAAAGCAAAAAATTCTACAAACCACTAAACCCACAAATACGACTCAAAGAAAGCACAGTGACCCGCAAAACAAACAAAGACCCTACACCCTCAAAGTAACCATAAACCACCTCCAATCACCCTGAATTCCTTAACCTCCACCATCTACCGCATCAAAGAAGAAATTTAAAATATTATGAAGCACGTACGACAAAAGACGATTAATAAACTTCGCATCCACAAAATTCGGCCCTTCGACCCCAACTACGCTTGCAGCCCAAAATTTTACAGGCTCATTTATAAAAGGGGAACGTAACATTGAAATTAAAATCAAAGCTTTTTGCTTCTTTTAATGCACCATGGGAATGCAAATTTTTATGAATTTGGTGACATTTTTTTAGGGATCCCTACCTTACTGGTTAAACTCGCTCCACTGGCTTGTCGCATTGGGGAATATGCCAGGGAGTTCCTTCGCGATAGAAATACAAGTGAGTCGGCGGGACCACCCGGATTTTCAGGTTTACTCCTGCAGGGAATCGGACCTCAGCATTGGCGCTCCCAATTGAACAATAACCCACTGACCCATTCTATCTCTTTCTATAGATGACAATATAATCACTGTTTATAATTCTTGACATTTAAACATGAATGATTTGTTAAATCATTATACCGAATTTAAATTCAGTAATGAGGAGAAACGATTTTTTTAAAAATTCAGTTAAACATGTTGGAGTTCTCACCAAATTTCGGTACCTCCGGCAGGAATATATTATATGTGCTGCCGACCCATCTGTATTTCCATTCCTTCAATTCGCTCATAAAGACTACAAAAAAGACTATTCTAGTAGTCCTAAAGTTCAGCCAAACTAGAATGATGGAGAATTTATTTAAAAAATTTATCAAATAAATGAACGG